CCCGAGATAATGGCATCTTGCTGACTCTTTACTTTTTATTTTCTGTGTCCAGCATCCAAAACAATACATCAAATTACAACAAATACATACTATAAATACAAGCACTGGATCACTTAAAACTAATGACCTTTCAATTGCTTCCTGATAAGTACTGTGTGTGTGTGAGAGAGTGTGTGTGTGTGTGCTGACCTGTGTGAGAGGCGGGATTGAGTGGCGAGGGGGCTGCGACCTCCTGAGCCGCCCTGGCTCTTCCTGAGGCCGAGGCCATGCCCCGGGCTCCGGGGTTCCTGCTGTGCCTCAGCCTCTCCTCCCGCTCCCGACGCTCCCTCTCTGCGTCCTCCACGGCCCTGTTGGCACCCTGACACACACACACACATATTTAATGAGCATATTTTCTCCTGGTGGAAGCAGTGAGTAGTTCATCACAGCGTGCCTGAAATGGGTGAAATAGGTGGGAAACTAACCATTATTTAAATCACATAGTCATTTCAAACATCAGATATATATTCTTTAATAAACTCTCTGGCAAAACTAGTTTGAAGGGAAAGTTAAAGTCTGTTAACCTTGTACAAAAACTGCCTCTGTGTAGTTTTGGCTCTTTATATGTACAGATATTGTGACACTTAATAAAAATTGAACAGAGGCAGTAGTGTGTATGATTACATTTAGTTTTACTGTAAATACACATTTCAGTGAGTAGTACTGCGTCTGCTGACCAAATCTGAATGCACCCAAATCCATTGTAATCAACCGTGGAAGCAAAAATCATGCAGACTTTGGAGACGACAGAGAATGAAGTGAATCCCAACAACTTACAAATTTGAGCATGTTCCAGTCAAAGACGTAGTCGTAGGAGAAGCCCTGTCTGTGGAAGAGGTTCCTGAAGAGCTGGCGGAGGTACGAATAGTCGGGTTTGTCGTCAAACCGCAGAGAGCGGCAGAAGTTCAGGTAGGTGGCGAACTCCGCTGTGGAGGACCAAGAGGATGGGAAAAGTTCACAAACGGTCGGCACTGCAGCTTTGTGGGAAATACTTAAACACACCAACCTCCACTCTGATATTCAAAGTTAGTATGTGATCACATCCTACACAGAACCAATGAAAGAAGGGAGCAGTTAAACGTACATGGGTAGCCTTTGCAGAGGACCTCAATGGGAGTGGACATTTTCTTCTCACTGATGCGTTCGTACTTCTGCCTCTTGGTGGCGGCTTTCAGACCCTGCCAGGGCAGAGAACCCAGGTTGAAGTACATGAGGACGTAACCCAGCGACTCCAAGTCATCCCGTCTGGACTGCTCTGTAGACACAAAGGGGGACAAAGTCAGATCGGCGGCCACGAGGCGGTCTATCCATTCATGACATAAGGTGGGATTTTGTGGACACTACAACGACCGGCCTTACCGATGCCCAGATGTGTGTTTATGGAGGCGTAGCGGGCGGTTCCCGTCAGGTTCTTGTTCTCGCGGTAGGGGATGTGCTGGTGTGTGCGGGCGTCGCGGTATTTCTTGGCCAGGCCGAAGTCGATGATGTAGACCAGGTTGCCCTTCTTGCCCAGCCCCATCAGGAAGTTGTCTGGCTTCACGTCCCTGTGGATGAAGTTCTTGGAGTGGATGTACTCGATGCGGCTGATCTAGAGGGGAGGAAGCGGGAGCAGATCTGATGTGAGCGTTAACATGCAAACATGGCGGAAAGGAGAGAAAAGGGAGTCAGATACAAGTACCAGAGAGTACTGCCAAATGTAGCTTTAAATGAAGTCAGCGTGAAGTTCCATATTGAGGATAGCAGAACTTGGATAAAACATTTGGATTCAAATCAAACATTTGGATTTTGGATCATGTTTTCGTGTAGAGGTTTATAGTAGATGCAGTGTTCAAATTTGTCACGAGAGCTAAAAGAATAAGACACTCTCGTGTCTCCAGCACACTGTTTTCACAATAACTATAGTACACCTCAAGTTAAAAACAACAAAATTAGCAGCTAGCATCTAGCAACTACACAGTCCCTGTGACTTCCAGTTTGCACCCCCTGCCTTCCCCTTCCTCTTTGTTTCTCTTCCTCTCCGGCGCTCACCATCTGGTCGGCCAGCAGCAGGACTGTCTTGAGGCTGAACTTCCGAGAGCAGAAGTTGAACAGATCCTCCAGACTGGGCCCCAGCAGCTCCATCACCATCACATTGTAGTCGCCCTCAGCCCCGCACCACTTTATCGTCGGAATGCCCACTGGAGGAGAGGAGGGAGCAGAAAACAGAGGAAAAGGTCACATTTAGCCCTTCATGTTTTTTTTTTTTTTTATAAACTTTTTTTTTTTTTTATTATAGTGGCAGCTGAAGACACGCAGCAAAGGGCCGCAGGTCGGATTCGAACCCTGGGCCACTGCCCTTCATGTTATTTTTATTAAATTCATTTATTATTGTTTATACTGCATATTTTGTATAAACAGAAGCTGAATGCAACTTTGAGCCAAGTCTAAGTGTGATTCTAAGTGACTGCAGATCAGTGACGTTGAATGAGGACTAAAATGATATCTACCCACAATGCCTTCTCTCAAGTACTAAATGGGTAAGCAGGACAAACATTGTTTCAGTCATTGTTTCATTGTCATATCTCAAGCAAAAATTCCAAACATTTGCTCAACGCAGCTTCCACAGTGTGGGGAATGTAGATATATATATGATATTATTGTAAAGTGAACATCTTTGGGTTATGACTGTTAGTCACCTTGAACTTTCTGGGCTGGGCTTTTTTTTTTTAAATTGTCATGAAATTCAAAATCTCATTAACTAAACGACTGATCCATTAATCAAGAAAGTAACTGACAAATTACTTGATAATAAAAGATAATCCTTAGTTTCAATCCTACTCCCTCTTTGTCATGATTAAGATTACTCATCATTAATTGGGGTAGTAATCAACAACAAATATTTGAAGCTTCGACCAGGCATTACCTTCTCATCTGACCAAGAGGCCGAGGCCATCCGCTATCGATTACCCATCTTCCCTTACTCTACGTCTACAGCTCTCAGAGTGAGTAACTGTACTGATAATACTATTCATAATAATCCTACATGAGTTCAAGAAGGATAAAGTTACCGTATCATGTGACAATTACTATGGGAGTTCCCCAAAAATGTTTCTAATTCAAATACACTTAATTGTTTCTGTGTTTCCAAAACAGAGAACTCAGAAAATCAACATCACAATCAAAGCTCTCTTTAAAAAGTTCACTGGCGAGTTTGTCATTTTTATTCAAATTAAATTATTCAATTAAAATCAGCTAATATAATACATAGGGCACTTTTTATGATTGATATGAATTTATAGTGAGCATTATTCCTTATGCTTACATACAAAGCCTGATTCAATGCTAGGGGGAGGGCATTGTGGGTAGAGATATCCTCATTTTCCAACTCGAACACATTTATTAAAAGCTGCCTGGTGCAGCGCAGTGCAATGCTACTGTAGAGAATAGAAATGGCTCAAATTTGAAAGCCTTCATCAAGCACACAGTGTCCATGCCCCCGACACACAGTGGGAGTGTTAAGGCAGAGGCCAGCTGGTTTTGTAGTAGCTGGTAATAGGCTGACGTTGCCAAGGCGAGGGGGCCATCTGGCATTTCCTTGTACAGGCAGACAGCAACAAAATGCTGCTGCTCAGCACCTAGCGCCGCACACACACACATACAGTCTGCATCAGCTATTTATATACATACAAACGCAAATACATCCCACGGTCTGGGTCAGCCACCGTGCCCCAATAAATCCTACCATGCTGGAACAAAAATACAAATGCTTGTGTGTGCACAGTTGTGCTTACAGAGACAAACTGTCTCCTGTACGTGCTCAGTCCCCGTCGACCGTTGGCTACAAAGTCAGAACAAAGCTGGACAGAGTTCATCAGCCAGTTGGGGGAAAAAAAAAAGTGTTTAAATAGGTTGTACAGACTACTGAGCTGTCAGAACATTTAAAATATACACTGCCTGATTTTTGTTTTAGTTCCCAACTGCAACGCTGAGCTCCTGTTCTCACACAGGGTGACAGGTTCTTTCTCGCTCGAAGCTTGCGGGCACGTTTAGAGTCGAGCACAAAAGTTACACTCAGCTCCGATTGGGAAATCATTTTCTCACGTCACGTCTCACTGCGAATCAGGCAGCCGATGACTGTGGCTGTCCCTGTATTTTGTGTTACGTTTCAAGTGAGTTTACTGATTGTGAAATGGTAAAGAGCTGTGCTTCTGGGATTAGTTGCCTCCAGGTTGTCGCTTGTGTGTGCGGAGGACCCTGGCACAAAATAGAACCTCTGTCAGCCTCTCCTTGTCGCACTGCTGGTCAGAATCATATGTCCTCACTCAGTGTGGGCGGCGCCAGCATGTTTCAGAGGTTCAGTTGACAATGAATAACATTCCGTCATGTCTTCAGAGGTCAAGCCAGACAGGTTTTCCTAGCTCACCATTCTCAGTCACAAACATCCAGTGATCCGGGAAGAAAGATCAGATACTTCTTTAAGGTATGCTGAATACACCTACCTCCAGTTTGTTCTTCATTTAACTCAATATATACTGAGGCGCCACACATTGATCCTTCTATATAATGATTTACGATAATAAACAGATGCTGGCCTATACTTTAAGTGCTTGTGAATACTTGTGTGGGGTACTTAGTTCATAGAAGCAGCAACAACACTTTAGAGTGGCAGAATGTGTGTGTACGTGGTGTGTTAAAAAGCATACAGTACCTCCACCCTGCATCATCTTGTAGATTTTGCTCTCTATGTGGAGCTGTGGGTGTTTGGTCTTCACACATTCCAACTTGATGGCTACCTCCTCTCCAACCGAGATATCAGTACCTAGACGGACAGACAGAGAGACAAGAGGTCAGCTGTATGGAAACACACATCATTTTGCTTTAAGGACGTAGCATAGCAGTGTTTACCAGAGTACAGCCAATATGGCATTGATTTATTAACAGAGCTCAATCTGCAACATGAGTGCAGACAGGTCAAAGTCCAATGTATATCACAGATTTATATAAAGTCTATGAAGCAAATAAGATATTAAGATAATAAAGCCTGACTTGTCAACAAGTTGTATAAAGAGCGCATTAGCGATGGTGATTAAAGTGGAGAAGCTGCTTGGGTACACAGGGACATACCGGTGGTTAACACAGCAAAGCCGGCCAAAATGGAAACCAACAGTGTGCACTGTGTGTGCCCTGCTCTTCTTTCACCAATCTACTTGTGCATGTGCAGTCCAAATGTCCTCACAGCCATCATTACATTATTCATCTAATTCCTTCAACAGACCAGGAGGTTTTAGGGAACCGTGTATGTGAGCCGACAAACCAGTGCTTCAGCTGCTTTCTTCCTAAATATGGTTATGGTGTCCAGTTCCTTCCACATAAACACAGCAACTGGACACCAGCTTACGTAATCCCCTTTCTCAACACACACACAGTCTCATACGGGCGGCGGTTGAATCGTGCAGGCTAACAGCGGCACCAATGGAGCATCATTGATTTCTCTGTATGATGTCATCTGGGCGGGCTGAGCAGCACTCAGCAGGGCGAGGCACACGATCAGGACTATGACTCAGTTTAAAGCGGATATGTGGTATATTTTATACTGGTTGAATAATGCTGAAGAGAAGCCTGTGAATGCGTGGCCGTACGGCGCTGTACGCAGGTTGCTGCTGCCAGGTTTTGCGATGATGCGGGAAAACAAAAAGCTCGAGCCGGAACGAAGCAGTTCTGCTTTACATCGTCTGCAACTAAATCAAATGGCATTGATCTGCCTCTGGCTGGCCACCCAAATCCATATCCAAATCATTCTGGGTGCTGACTTTAAAATGGTCAGTTCACCCAAGTGCCAAACAACAAAATTCCATTCACCTTCATAGTGTCGGGGAGAACATTCGGTTGGACTAAACCTTGAATAAACCGCTGTTAAAGTTGTTAAATGGGGGTCATGATTTCACCGTTATTGGAATATGTTTTCCTTTAATTAACCACTTTGTCGAAACAGTTGCTCATTCACTTTAGGTCCATCTACTAATGGATGAATGTTTCAGCTCGAGTTGCCTGACACATCGTGAACACCTCCTTTACCTTCCAGACCATGTTGCCATTTATTTAACGTTAAAATACCATACATTGAATTAAGGCAGTGTAAGAGTGTATGATGCCAATAATATTAGTGTACTAGTTTAATAGTCAATAACAATAGTGCGTGTGTCCATTGACAAAAACATACCCACGGAAAACGGACCTTTTTGTCATCTAGTAAACACTGCAGCCCATCATCAGTTATAGATTTGCTTTTGTATTCAGTTTCACCACACTGTAATTGAATACAAACAGTTAGAAGATTAAGCACTTTGTAGGCCGATTAATTGAAATTATTAATAATGCAAAAACTTCTGCTCGTTGCAACCTTAAAAGAGATGTATTATTATATTTAAAGTACGCCGTTTGATCTCAGATTTAACAATCTGTTCATGTGCAGATGGGCGTCAGGTAAACAAGGGCTTCACTCCATTTTAGTTTCAGCACAGCACTTTGAAACAAACACAAAGCCACTTAACTCAGTGACTTCTTGCTCTAGCCAATCAATAAACAAATCAATCAAACAAACAACAGTGAAAATGTCTGCAAAGGCTCTTTACAATCTGAACACCACATCTCAGTGCGCCGTCTGCTTTATTGCATCATAGGAATGTGATTTGCCTGGACAGATTCTCCTGGGGAATGCAGCCCCCAGCCCCAGCCCCACGCCCGCTTGTCTTCTCAGAGAGGGGAGCTTGTGAGTGTGTGCGATTCCTGTGCACATATGTGGTGTGTGTGTGTTTTTATTCTGAGCGATACTGCTGCCAAAACATGTTCAGACACATCTCTCCACTCCAGTTCACCAACAGCAGCAGCAACAAACTACTAAGACTTTGCATTGAGCGGCTGCACGCATCAAAGAGGTCCGCGTACATGCATCGAGGAGCGGGGACTGTTAATGTATTAGTCTCTGCAAAACGCACACAGAAGCGGTACTCCTCCCAACTGTAACTGTCAGCATAGTTCAAAAATGCAAATCACCCATGAGTGTGTGTTGGGGGGTTCTAGTGCGCTGTTAAATGCCACAGGAAAGAAGAAACAGCAAGGTGCAGCCTCGACTGATCCAAAAGAAAAACTATTTTCACATGACGTGCTCTCACATGTTGGAAATACTGTTTGGGTTTAGGCAAGGGGTTGCACCTGCAGAGCGTGCAGGAGGAAGAGGAGGAGGAGAACTTATCCATAATAATAAGTCTCAAAATGTGGAATACTACAAACTATAACTATGACAGAAACGTCTGCTGTGACCTCAGTCTGCTGGCCTGCAGGAGAGACACTTTGTGATGTGCTGGGATTTTATAACGAAACTGAGCAGGACACACAAATCTGAAACCATTCGCTTCTGTTCGATGGGCTTTGCCATCACTGTGTGAATGTGTGTGAATGGGTGAATGAGGCATGTAGTTTAAAACTGCTTTGAGTGGTCAGAAGACTTGAAAGGCAATATAAAAGTACAATCCATTTACCATGGCATATTTCTACTGTTTACCTCACAATGAAAGGTCAAATAGTTGACGTCATGACACTGTCTAAAAGTAAATCACATAAATCACTGTGTAGTGTTTGACGCCTGATAAGCAAGATCTATTACTTAAACTGGACTAGAAAGGCGCTATACAAGTACAGGTCCATTTACCATCGTCTCACCTGAAGCAAAAGGCCCCCACCAAAGCTCAGTGAAAAACATGTGTCAAGTCAAGTGCAACACGAATGTGAGCAGGACACTTATCCAGTAGCTCCGTACGTGTTTTTTTTTAACACTTTATGTGTGTTTTTTAAACTTTTAACTCTTTATATAACACTAGCTGTGTAAAACTTTATATATCCTATGGATACAATTACTTTTTACAGACAACATAGCACTGGACATCTTATTTATTCAAGGAAGAAGCTGCTTTCACTCCAAGAGCTGAGGAGGAGGCACCGAGGCTGCAGAGCCGGAGCGAAGGTGAAGGCTAGGCTAGCGGCTAAGCGGTGGAAGTACAAGCCCTCGG